CTATGAGTCTATGAAAAAGGTGTTAAAATGTTTCAGTTTCCATTTTTTTTGTTTTATTTTCAGGGTTCACCTTCCTCAGGAGGCAGCCAATATGGTGGACAGGTGAATAGTGAATATGCTTCCCTTGTAGTGTTTATGACTTGACCAAAGAGATTTGGCACTTCTCTGGGTAAAGGAGCATTTTCAGGAGATTGGGGTTTCGTGGTTTCTGTCCATTTTTTATCTAATTTGTTACTGAGTATATAATGGTTATAAATGTATGTGATGCCAAGCCACAGAAGAGTTTTTTAACTCTTCTGTGAATTTCTGATGCATCATGGTAAATGCAGATGAGCCTCACTCATTTTGGTACAGTCTGGTTCAGTCCACTCACAGTTCTGGAGTGAAGGAAACTGGGCTCTCCTTCATATGGAGCATGGTTTAAGGAGTACTATGACATGGATATAGAGATCATTTAATTCTTTTTTGTTCAGGGTTCACCTTCTTCAGGAGGCAGCCAGTATGGAGGACAGGTGAGAATCTCTTCCTGTTCTACATCAAAACTTGCTACTTTTACACTGACTGAAAAAAATTTGTGAAAACTCTGTTTATCTGATACAAAATAGGTATCTAAAGATATATGATCTGAAGCAATACAAAAACTATGCAGATCTGCTGCTTCTGTTGTATTAAATGCAGTTCTGGCCTGGTTGTACCCTCCAAGCTGCTCTGTTGCTGTCAAGGTTTCTTAGCTCTAACAATAAGGAGTGGCTGGAAGCAGATTCATCCCTCCTCTACCTCATTTCCTTCAGCAAAATGCAGTATCAGAGTTGATATCTGAAAAGCAGTATGGTTTAAAATAGGAAGAGGGGGAAGGTGAGGAGTTACTAAGACTCCTCATGCCCCTGTGAGATGAAAGATGACAGAATTCCTATTGCTGCCTGGAGATAGAGCCTCGAATATGGAGTAACACAGTAAGCAATAGGCTGAGTGTTTATCTTCCTGTGATTTTTCATTGTGCAACAGAGGAAAAAAACAGTGTCTCTTTTAAAAGCTCTTAAAGAAGCTTTTTTATTTGAGAAATAATTGGCACCTTTGCTACAGGGTCCATATTTCCCAGGTGGCAGCCATTATGGAGGACAGGTGAGAATTGTTTTTCTGTTTATGGGTTGTTTTTTCCATTGTACATCCTTTTTCCTTTTTCTTTTCCCTGAAAATCAGAATATTTTTTAAAGGGGTGGCTTACAGCAAAACAGTGTTTAGGCAGAATAGATGAATATCTGTGAATATCTGACTCTGCTGTGTCAGGCCACTCACATAAGCAAAGCACAGAAGCTGCTGGAAGCACACAGTCCAGGGCAGAAGCACTGCTCACATCTGCCTGAACCTGACTTTGATTCAAACGTCGTAGTTCTGTTTAAACAGCAGCTACTGTAAAGGCTCTCAGTGGATTTCAGGATGGTTATAAAATAAATTTTCATGTACATGTGGCACTTAAATCCAAGGAAGACAAATAAATGTGTGTTTTTCTGTGACAGATCATAAGTTAAAGAATGTGCAACAAATATAAATGCTTTTTCATTTCTTTAGGGTATAGCTTCTTCAGGAAGCAGCCAGTATAGTGGACAGGTAAAACTTCTACTTTCATGGTATTTGCAGTTTGGGTACACAGTTCATCAGGAAAACAGACTGGTATTTTTTGCAAAAAAGGAACGTTCTAAGATAGAGTAGCTTGCAGCCAGACTGAAGGAGGATTGCCAAGTATGAGTCTGTCTGCTATATCAGATTATGTTAAGAGCAAATGATACAGGGGCCTGTGACACCGCATGGAAATTTTCTTCAAAATATCATGGTTAAAGAATCCAATTTTTTGGTGTTATGTTTAAATGGAAGCAATTTGAAAGACTGAGAACCACAGAGAAGAAGTGAGAATGTTACTCAGTAACATAGAAGTAATTAAGTTACTCATTTCTTCCAGGGCTTTTCTTCAGGAGTCAGACAGTCTGGTGGACAGGTATGCTTTTCTTTCTCTGTGCTATTCAGTTCTGCTAGTGCCATATACTCACAGATTGCTTTGTGTAATTTTCCTTCACAAGAGCTGTTTCCCTTCACACATTTCATCCAGATTGAATGTGGAAAGTGAGACACTGAATAGTGAACCCCTGGCCACCTCTTACAAAGTTTTATCAGAGCAGAAGTTACTTAATAGGCCTCCACTGGAAGTCATCTGAAGAGTACTGCATGGATCCATAGGACACAGAGTATGCTGAGTTGGAAGGATCCATCAGGATCATCAAATCCAACTCCTGGCTCTGTGCAGGACACCCCAAGAATGACACCCATACCCCTGAGAGCATTGTCTAAATCCTTCTTGAATTCTGACAGGCTTGATGTTCTGGTCTCCTCAAGGGAAAAAAATTAAAATCTGTATTACTATTCAAAATTATTTACTTAACCTTTTCTGAGTAGGTTTTTACTGTAAATTTTAAATGAGAAGTTAGAAGATTCTATTTAAAAATTATACCAGTAAGTGCACAGCTAGCCTAACAGGGCAGAGGAGAGATAAAGACCTTTTTTAATGGAGCTTGATAAGTTGATGAGAGTGTTTTATAGTCCATTTTTTTAGAGTAGCATAATGTGAGTTTGATTTACTAATTCAGAGGCCTATTCCAATCACAGACCCAGGACAGTAAGTTTGGTTGTGTTTTGTACAGGGTGGGTGTGTGTGCCCCGGTGGAGGTTCAGTAAGTATTGTCTTTATATATTTTTCATAGTATGTACACACACTGGAAAATTCCCAAGGAACTACATTTCTTGAAATAATTCTGTCTGTGAAGTTCTATGTATGATGAAAGCTTTTTCCACATTATGCTAAAATGAGCAATTTTAAACCTGCTAAAGGCAGAAATATTAAGTGATTGGCAACTAAAGTATTGCATTCAAAACTAGCTACTCAGTTTGTAAGAGGGACTTTTCTAAGCATCTGTTTCCCAAATATCTCATAGTGTATCTGTTGGGTTTTGGACTTTGCACTTATGATAGTAATTAACAGTATGATTGTAGATTAAAATCTTGGCTCCAAATGCTTTCAGAATGAAGCAGAGAAAAGCTTGGAAAAGTTGGGAAAGCTAAACCTATTTCCATTTTTGTCTAATTAGTATTTTTCCTATTTCTTTGTAAATTTTTGAAAAAAAACCCCAAAAAACTCCAAACATACAAAATCCTCCCACCCCCCCCACCACTGTTTTGCTGAGATTAATTTAATTTACTTCTGAAGAAGGGTTCAGTTACCTTTTTTTCAGTACAGTCAAAATTGCTTGGATCACTACTTCTCTTTATTGGTCTGTGTAATCAAGCAAAACAACATGCCCAAGTATATAACCCACGGCATATATGCCAATTTAGAGAATCAAAAGTATTGAAAACAACATATGAATGAGAATTTATATTAATAGAAATTATATTATAATAATAATACTCATATACACATTATATATATATTCATGCATATATTAATTCACATATAAATCAAGATGAATCAGAATCATAGTAAGCAGTGTAAGTGACTTGATCATTGCAATAGGTCAGCATGTTCTCTTGGTTTTCCTCTCTGTGACACTGAAGTTAATGCAGAGTAAACATTGGTGTTTCTGTTGAATGCAGGGCTCTTTCGCAGGAACCAACTACCATGGTGGACAGGTAGGCAGTTTGTCTGTAACATTTACACAGATTAGTTCCTCAGGAATAAACATGGCTCAGTTGTCATATTTGCCAGAAGCCATGAAATATTGAGTTCACTTTAGTTACAGAGACAGGTAAAATAATGCCAGAGAGTGCATGGGGCTTTTATTCAATCACTCTTGACATTTTAGTTATATCCTTCTACATACAACAGCCAAGGTTTTACTTTGTAGTTATAGAAGCTTTCTTACCTTAAAAAATCACTGAAGAATCATTCACAGGGTTCATCTCACTGCATAAACCACAAATAGGATGTTTGGATAATTAGTCATTTTGCTACTGCATTAGTAACTGTGTAAAGTTCTTCCAGTTAATCAGCGTCATGAGTATTGTCTGTAGTAGATCCAGGATATTTTTTTGCCATTTCAAATTTTTTTATGCTATTAAAATTATTTATAAAAAATTTGCATTCTTTTTGCAGGGTTCATATCCTGGAAGCAATCAGTATGGTGGACAGGCAAGCAAATTTTCTTTGTTTTCAAGATCTTCTTTCTACTTGCAATTTACTAATTGAAAAATATCATGCAGTACATATACTGACAGTTTTTTGGGGTCATTTTACTCCTAATAAATATTTGAAAACAGGGACTGTCAGTAGCTGGAGTCTACTCAAAATGGAGTAGCACAACAAATTTCCATGTAAAGAAATTCCATAGGTCATAATTCTAGTTGTTTTACCTCAGAATGCCTCCTAGCTCAAATGATTATTTTAATGAACCACTTATAGATTTACATTAAATACTTGGAAAATTTGGTACAGGATAAACCATTAGATACTGTTTTAAAAATGTAAATTCTGGTGTGGTGCACACAGAACTTCAGCTGCAGCTCAAGACTCTTCCTGTTAAGCAGGTACCTTATGCAGACTGTTTCCCACTGTTTCAGAAATGTTACTAGTGCAAAAAGCTGAAAGATGAAATGGACGACTAACTCATAAGATGGAGCTTATTTTTCATTAATATTACTGTGTTTGCAATCTCACTCTACCATACTAAAAAATTTTCTTTTTACTCCACTGGCAAGCACTGGAGTTCAGTATCACTCTATTAAAAAGATAATCTCATGTAGAATGGAGAGGATTCTTAACAGCTGCAAATCAATTTTTTTTCCCAAACTACCTATTTGGTAATATTAACAATGTTTTTACAATAATACACATGATGCTCATGATGCTCTGTGAACATATGTGACACAGTAGAAAATCACAAATAAAGTAGATTTTTTTTTTCCCTCTTGAATAGAGCCATATGTAAGACACTTTTGACCCATTTATTTATGTAACAAAACAATCTCAGGAAGTGTTTTGTGACTGTTTGCTCAATTCACTGCTTTCAGCTGTTGAAGAACTTAGAGGCATTAAGTCAGAAGTCTTTCAGTGCATCTTGTAGATTCATATACTTTCCAGATTATGACTGAGATCTCCTGTGTAAAGTCCTGTGATGTTTGATTCTGCACAGAAATATAAAAAGTAATTGATGTTAATTTTCTATGATTTTTTTTATAGGGATCTTATCCCTCAGGAAGCAGCCAATATGGTGGGCAGGTGAGTATTCTCTTTCTATCCCATCACTTCTAACTCTTTCCTAACATACTTTTTAGATCAGGTCAGTTACTTGATGCTGACAGATAGATTAATTTGGCAATTTTATTAAGTTTAAACAGTGGAGGCAATACAGGTTGAAGTCTTTTCAGTAAGGTGAATAAAAGATTTGGTTACAGTGAGTTACTGCTCTGTGTAAAATATTCCTTTGAACCTACTCTAGCTGCTAGGCTGTATTTCATAACACTGCTCTTTTGATTCAAATTGCCATTGTTGTGGTATGTAGTACAGAGTGTACATTTTAGGTATCCCATTTACTTTTTTATGTTTTAAGAACACCCAAATAAGCTTGTCTCAAGCACTCTAGAAATTATCTCAAGACAGTGACAGAAGATTTTGCATTCAATTAATACAAGTTTGATTGATTTCTTACAGGGCTCATATCCTTCTGGAGGCAGACAACAGGGTAAACCAGTAAGTACAAAACATTCAAATTTACCTTTCGCTTTTCTTATACACCTTTAAAAAATCTATCTAGTTACTTATGGACTAGACAGTTTTCTGATAATTACTTTAATTTTAATTTTAATTTTTTTAAATGATTTTGTATTCATTTGTCCTAAGTATTTCTGTCTTGCTTCGAAGAAAACACTCTTTCTTTTAAAAGGAAACAATAGTTGCCATTTAATAATGCATATTTTCAACTTCTACCATTTCAGACTACTCTTTTTACTATGTAATTTGGACCTTGCTCCTGCCATTCAATGGCAGTTGATACAAATGTTATCTCTAATAGAAAATATGTACTTGTTATTAAAAAGTGGCCATAAATGTTACATTTTCTAATACGTGAATCCTAAAGGTGAGACATTTTCTGTACCTATTTGATAGCGTTTCTTAGACTTAACGCTTGTAACGTTTCCTGTTGGCAATGCCATTCAAATAAGCAGAGCCTCTTCACCAGAAAACCGAGTATGCTTTCAGAATGGATAATTTTTCTGTAGCCACTCTTATTCTCAACTACATTTCTTATTAGTTTTCTTTCAGTAGGAGCTGTAGAGTAAAGGCCTCTTATAATTTGCCTTTTTTTTTGGTAGTGTCTTTTTTCCCCCCAAATGTAACAATAGACTGATACCAGGAGAATTACTGTTTAATTGGACCTTATTATTTTTTCCTTTCCATATATTAAACACAACTATAAACCAGTTCTTTTTTCTTGAGAATTTTGTATTAAATTGTCCAATACAACCTTTGAAAGAACACTCATAACAGAAAGATGTTAAATATTTGTATTTCAGGTAAGGTTTTGCCTGGAATTTTTGGATGACTGGATACAAAACAGTATTCATTCTTCCATGGTCTTTAATTCCAGATAGCATGAATATTTATGCACAAATAGAGTCAAAAACAAGTATCTTTTTTCAGGGTTCCTCTTCCTCAGGAGGCAGTCATCAAGGAAAGCCAGTAAGGATATTCTTCTTTCAGTATTCTGCAACCGAATTAGAAATGGGGATATTGGGTTTTAAGATAGGTAACAGTAATGAGGGTGAAATTTAAAATTATGTTACAATGGTACATGTATGAGAAAAATTACGAATAAAAATTGGAATATTTTGTTCAAACTTGAACCTTAGGATGAGGCAGCAGTTACTCCTCTCATTGCAAAGTTTTGATATACTCTGTTACTTACTCATAGGAACATGCTTGGGTCATTCTAATGAGAATGATGTATTTAAATTTCAGGGTAATTGTTTCAGTTTCCAACCCTGTAGTTCAGACAAGACACATTGCTTTGACACATTCCTCTGAAACACATCATGCAATAAAAAGGACATAGCTGTGCTAATTTGAGACCATTCAATTGAAATAGGGGGAAAAGTGCAATGAAAATGGTAAAATCAAAATCACTATCAGACCTGCTAATATCCAGGGCATTTTCAAGACTGCTGTGTGCAATCACAGCAATTGCTGGATGCTGTTCATTGCAGCCTTGTATGACAAAATTAAATGGTTCATAATTATTTCACAGGGTGGCTCTGGCTCAGGAAGCACTTACTCTGGGAAACCAGTAAGAATACTTTGATCACAACACTTCAATCTTCTTCTCTTAGTAAACAAAGAACTTGGGTGGTGGGTAGAGAAATTTTGGGATGATTTAGTCTGAAGAGAACATTCTGTATTAATATTAGATCAACCTTCCTCTTGAACAACTTAAAACCATGCTGTGGGTTAAGCTATTAAAATCTTGTTGATCACAGGAAAAAACTGTGTTCAAAACCATTGGCTGGAAACACCTCTATAAATTTATTTGTTTGTTTGTTTTCAGCAATCACCTTATTCAGGCGGCAGTCAAGTGGTGAGTACTTTTCCTCTGTGTAGTTTCTACTGGTTTCTTCCTATAAATGTCATAGAAAACTGAAATCTGTCAAATTTCCCACATCTGAAAAAATGTTTGAGAGCACACCTGCAACATAATAAATGAGATAGTCTTAACAAAAGTGAAGAGAAGTGGAACCACATAAGTGCCTTCCACTTTTGACCATGACAAGCACTGAAAAACATGTGTTGATATAAATGTGGCACATGTTCTTTTGACATCAGAAGTGTCTACATAATACATGGGGCTAATAGAAAAAGATTTCTCTGAAAATTTCTATGCTTTTATAATAGCAATAAAGACAACTATTTAGGAATGGGTTTATTAAATTTCTCTTTTTTTTAATTATTTCTTTTGTTTTTTTAATAGAGCTCTGCTGGGAAACACTCCACTTCCCAACTCCTGATGTTATTCAGTGTTTTGAGCGCCTTTGCTCTCTCTGCTGCTGTATCAAAATGGTCTATATGAACTTCTGAAATGTGACATCCTAATCATGGATTATATTCCATATTATTAGATTACTTAATGTAAAAAAAAAAAAACACCATTAAGTCAAATTGGCAGATGCTACTTGGCTGTAATGTTGCATGTCTAGCTGGTATGTCACGCCCCTCATTAGTTTACCTCTGGTTTTAGTCATTAGTAGATATCAGTAGTTGTGTCAGTGTTTTAGGCATCATTTTAAGAGAGCATATTGTACCCTACCTATATGATTTATTTTTATTTCTAATAGGGAACACAATGAACACCTACCTTAAACAAGTGGTGTGGCAAATTTAATACTTAGGAAATATTCGGTTATTAACCAAAGCAGACAAGGTTAAATAAATTGTATATGCAAACTGAACACTGTGCATGGTAATCATCACTTAAGACACGGTGAATGTAAACTTCTGATCATCAGTTCTCCATGGGACAGAAGAAAAGATGCTGAAGTACTATCAGAGTATTGGTTTTAGTCTTCTGTAGTCGAATGCAAATTCAATATTGAGATTGCAAAACAAAACAAACAAAAAAAAAACAAACCAAAAACTCCACAGGACTGAAAATTTTTGGGGGTTAATTAAAGTTTATTCATTAGAAAAATGGAACAACTCAGAGCAAAGACATTATGAACTCCATTCAAACTAACTGCAAATACCTAGAGTTCTGTAGAGAAGCATATGAGGCCAATGTACCCCAGATTAGGCTGATAAACCTGATAAAATCTGCTGGAAAAGAAAGCCTTTTTCCTTGGAAGGAATAGAAAATTGATTAAATTCATAAAACCAATACCGTCTTGGCTCCTTTTTTCGAATATTTAGTCTAACCTGTGATACCTCGTATATCTGAAAGGTTAATTTCATGAGTGATGTATACATCAGTGTGCTCGCTGAAATAGCACGGCCCGTATTTGAGTTCAGGAGCAGTTCCACACCTTGCAGCAAACTCTTCCGGAGCTCTCAGTCACCTTCTGTTTGGTGTTAACAAAGTGCATTCACCGAGAGTACACTTCTAATGAAAGTGTTATTGAACATGTGCCTGCTATTACAATTCCCATTATCAGTAGCGTGCTTTTCTATCACGGTTTACAATTGTAAGTGGTGGGAGAGGTTTCCATTCAAGTGCCGCGGGGCCAGGATTTCACCCGGTTTTCATGTGCAGCATCACCCTTCGCCAACCATCAATCGAAGCACAGAGTTATGCCGATATACGATCTTCACAATTTGGTGGACAGTTTGTTTCTTCGGACAACACGAATGTTCTGTTTGAGAGGTCCGTACCTCAATTCGACCCAGCCCTGCCATTTTTTAATAAATTTGTCATGGGTTTCACACAAAACCCATCTGGCTCGTGCCAATGGCTGCCCCAGGTCCCCGTTCACGGTTGGGCGGAACACGCAGGGACTGCAGGCTCCGGGACCGCCCCTGCCCCGCGCCGCTGCCCCTCAGGGGCGGCCCCGCCAGGCCCTGCCCGGGCCCCGGCCCCGAGCCCGCCCGGCCGCTCCCGGCTCTCGCTGCAGCCGCGGCCCTGGGAACCGAGCGGGCGGGGCTCGGCTGCAGCCGGAGCCTTTGCGGGACGGGACCGCGGCTCCCGGAAGCACCGGGAGCCGGAGCGAGCCGAGCTGGGCCGGCGGTGAGCGGCGAGCGGGGCCGCCGGGCGGGCGCGCAGGTGGGAGCGGAGCCCGGCCGGGGCCTCCCCGCGGGGAGCGGTGCGGGGCTGTGCGTGAGGGGGAGCCTGAGGGAGGCCTGTGGGAGCGGGCAGACGTTCGGGGTTGGTGCATGGGGCGGGAAGCAGGGCTGTGGGAGCAGGCTGGGATTGAAGAGACACCGAGAGAAATGTCTGGAAATGGAGCGGTTTGGGCAAGAGGGAGGAGGGGGTGAAGCTGAAGTTGCTGTGGGGAAGCGGCCGTGTGTGAAGTTGGGAAGGGGCACGGAGCTGCCCAGAGCTGTGTCAGTGCTGCTGAGGTTGTCGCTCCTTGCTGGTGCTCTGCTGAGAAGATGCTCACTATGCGTGATGTGGTGCTGCATGTAAAGTTCACGGAAATGCACATTTTGCAAGTATTTGCATGGTTATCATAATTTTATACCAAGTTTTTGAAATGAGAAACACTCCAGCAGTACATCACTTATGAATTAAGCAGAAACTCAGAGGATAGAGAGATAACAAATGTAATAATGCATATTATGGAATAAACTGAAAGGTAAAATATAACTATCAGAAGGTACCCGAAGTTGTTTCATTTTATTAAATCCTATAAACTATGTTTTAAACCAGAGGGAGGAAGACTTGAATTCCAGATAAAATATTTTAAAGTAATGGCTGGGTGGAGAAGACTGACACAGCTTTGAGTAAAAGAGGGATGTGTTATTTGGGACATAAAGAATGAATGCAACAAACCTTTCTAAAACTGAGTAAGCACCACAGTGGGATGTTTTATTTTTCATGGTGATCTCTGCTCAGAAGGATTGCGATCTCAGACAGCCTTTGCTTTTCAAAGACCATATGTGCAGAATGACAGAGTGGGTCTTAGGATTAACATTAGTGATGGTCTGCTTTTCTTGAAGTCTGTGGGACTGGCTCTCTCTGTAGGCACTGCACTTGACTTAGCAGTGTGCTCACTGAGTTGAGATACAGGCTGCAGGGCGAGTTTGAGGGAGGTGACAGTTATGGAGAAAGTGATTTACAATAATCTCTCCCTTTGGAAGCTGTAGTTCATGATTCCCTTGTACGTTGTTAGGCATTGTGAGAAGAACTTGTAATTGAAAATCACAGTTCTGGCAGATAAGGATCCATTGATTTGGGATGCATGATGTTCTGGTTGGTAGAAGTAGTATGTGTAGCAAAAGTACTGGTTTGGGGAAAGATTGGTTCTAGTAAGTATAAATTTGCTTTCTTTAGAGCAATGTATTGTTAGGAGTAACTCTGCCTCCAGTAATCCTACAGGCTGCCTACACAGCCTAATTCCTTATTCTGGTGATGCTATTGTCTGCAACAACAAGAAAAAGGCAGGGATCATCTGAGCCAAGTACCTATGGAATTCAAGTCACATGTCCTCTTAAAACAGTTCCGGATTTGGCAGTGCTGAGGAAGCACAACACATATTTACCTTTGGAACAGGCTTGTTAGACACAGCTATTCCTCCCGTATGGTTCTTGAATTGCTTGCTGCCTGGGCTTATTCTTCACCAGTTACTTCAGTTCCTGCCATATTCAAACTGCTTCTGCAGGCTGCATGCCTTTGCTGGAGCTCAGGAGAATGCACAGCTGGATCACATCAGTGGAGGATGTCTCTAGGGGGAAGGAGAGATTTTAACAGCGATATTTCAACAGCGATATTTCTCAGGATCTGGCATGATAATGGATTTTGCCACTGGATTTCTGAACCTTGTCTTACATTTATACCCCTTCAGTGCTGTTGGACCGTCTCATTTTATTTGTAATTACTAACACACTGCAATGCCTACAGATTGATTTTCCCTGTAGGATCTGGTCTGTGTTACTCTACTCCAAGTAGGTCACCTTGACTGAGGTGTTTGACACACTATGTTGCCTTTAGCAGCAGGACTTGACTCGTAATTCATAAATAGCATAAGTGTAAGCTGCAGCTGAGCCCCAGCTGGATTCAATGTTCAGTCTTTCAGCACCTTAAATCAAGCTCCTTCATTGGCTTGACACATCAGCAGGAACTGCATTCCAGCACTCCTTTGGTTCATGGCATTGCAGTCCTGTGTGCTGGAGGAAGGGTGGGCATTTGAACTGAAACTGAGAACTGAATGGCTCCTTGCTCCCAGAGTCTGAATGTGGCTGCTGGGATCTATCTATACTGTGATCTATACAATGAACACAGTGTATGTACTGTGTGAAAACAAGATGCAGCTCAGGCAGCCTGTATCAAATTTCTGTGCTGGCAGGCAGAGTTTGGCTTAATGACTGTTGTGTCAATATAAAATTTGCACTACTGGGCAGAGTTGAAGTCTTCATCTTACAAGACATGCTGGTGTTAACGTTTAGTTTAATGAGGGCCTGAATTTCCAGAATGCTGAATATTTATACTCAATATGTGATTTATATTATATTCATCAAACCAAATTTTTGTCAGTCAAAAAAATAGTATCTCTGGATTCTTAGGTTTGGTGTAAAAGATAAAGGTGGTGGGCTTAAAGAGCACTTAGCCACAGATCCCACATTTTAAGATTCACAATGCTTTACTCTTCCTGCTTGATACATAGATTAGAATGCTATTTTCTTTTTCCCCCTACAGAAGAAACAAACAAACAGAAAACCTTTGGGACCTCATAAAACAACTCACCCGAGTTCCTTTTTTGCTCCGTTTTCTGTCAACATGTAAGAAAACCTTATGTGTGTCCCAAGCAATTTATAGCATTTTCTGAAATGAGACTTTAGTTAATAATTAATATGTACTTGCATTCCCTTTGTTAAACTTGGCACTGATGGAATTTCCTGGTTGATATATATGGCCAGTGAATCACTGATACAGCCTCCACTATCTTAGGCAGAAGCCAAAGTTTTGGAGCAAAGTTGAGAAGAAGTCGTTGGTTGATCTTTAACAGTTACCATTTAATGTGTAACTGCTCTTTACCTGGGTGCACTTGCCAGTTTTGAAAACCATGTGCATGGTTTTAAAATGGCCAAGAGTTGTGGTTGTGGTTTAACCCCAGCTGGCAACTAAGCACCACACAGACACTTGCTCGTTCCTGGTGGGATTGGCAGACAATCAGAAGGGTAAAAGTAAGGAAACCTGTGGGTTGAGACAGACAGTTTAGTAGGTAAAGCAAAAGCTGCACATGCAAGCAAAGCAAATCAAAGAATTCTTTTACCACATTCCATGGGCAGGCAGGTGCTCGGCCATCTCCAGGAAAGCAGGGCTCCATCATGTGGAACAGTGACATGGGAAGACAGACACCATCGCTCTGAACCTCCCCTCCTTCTTCTCCCAGCTTTGTGTACTAGGCATGACTCCATGTGGTCTGAGATATATCCCTGCAGTCTCTTGAGTCAGCTCTCCTGGCTGTGTTCCTCCCAACTTCTTATGCATTCCCAGCCTCCTCACTGGTGGGGTGGGAGGCAGAAAAGTGTAATCCCTGTTCAACAATAGTGAAAACGTCCCTGAGTTATCAACACTTTTCAGCACAAATCCCAAACACATCTCCCTGCCAGCTGCTGTGAAGGAAATGAACTCTACCCTAGCCAAAACCAGCACATGAGATACAGTTGTGCCTATGGAGCAAGATGACGTTGCAGGAGCAAGGAGCAAGGTCCACCAGTGATCTACTGTGTTCTACTTGATAGCTGTGTGTCTTAAAAATATCATTTGAATGCAGTTATTTTTTTCGTTATTTACACCAGTTAAGATTTTTTTAATATAAATAGAGAAATTGGAAACACTGCCTGAAGGAAATCTTTGTTCTGCAGTTTCTGCTCAAAGAGTAAGGAAAGAACTTTGCTAGAGGATTTGCTTTTAACCACACTTCTGAAGAAGTGTGCAAGCTCCAAGAGAAGCACAGTTTTGGTTTTTTTCATAGTGTACTTAGCGCATTTTATAATGTCTCCAGGAAGAAAAAGGAGTAACAAACTGGAAAACAAAAGAAAGAGCAAGGTAAGTTTTAAAATGATGAAGTGATTTGTAGTGATTTAGTTGCAAAGTGCCAGGTGTTTGGGGAGGAACAGCTGAGAATTATAGATAGCTTATGGGAGGGAACAAATAAGAAACCTGTATGAGGAAAATGGAGAACATAGTAGTAACATTTTAACGTGAGAAATACAAGGTTTCAGATTATTAGAAATATTTAGGACGTGCATTATTACAATTGCAGTGACATGAGAGATTTCATCTTGTGGTGGTGTGGGGAGAAAGATATATATTTTCAAATTATAGCAGTCTGAATATGGCAGTTCAATTATTTGTGTGTATGCAAAATCTACTTCAGAATGCAGTTCAGCAGCATTTAACTAGATTTGGAAAGGTCTATGCACCCTCTGTACCATGTGGGATATTTGTCATAAAATCATAGAATGGTTTGAGTTGGAAGGGACCTTAAAGGTAATCTGTTTCCAGCTCCCTGCCATGGGCAGGAGCACCTTCCATAGACCAGGTTGCTCAAAGCCCATCCAACCTGGCCTTGAACTCTTACCAGTGGTAAGTTTCTTGAGTTCTCTGGGCAACCTGTTCCTGAATTAACCCAGCCCACGTTCAGGCCCTTGCACTTGGCCTTGTCCAACTTCATGGGGTTCCTTCCTTCCATTTATTTCTGTACTTAAAGTATTTGTTGTATTATATACTACTTCTGATGAATACAAAGCTGTATTCATTTAAAAAAAAATAAAAAGAAGTATTTATGGAATAGAACTTCCCTCTGAGGAGTGTAGTTGTGTTGCAGAAAATAACGTTATTGGTGTGTTATCCAGGATAGGGAAGAGGGCAATACATGCAGAAAGTAAGAAAAGCATAGAAAGAAGTCTTATAAAAATAGGTTCTTCAGGTTCTGTGAGTTAGCTCTTACTCCACCTTCCAGTTGTCCTTTGTTGGCAGCTTATTGTATTTGTATAGGTGTAGTGTCAGCCCTGGGTACATATTTCATTGGAGAAATATAAAAACACCATCCTGTTACTTGGATCTGTTATCCTGATTTCAAAGCAAATACCCAGCAAGTGTGTCCCTACATGTAGCACTGGGATGACACAGAGGCAGACTCAATCAGTGTTTATTTTCCAGCAGATCCTATATGGAGAATTTGGGGTAGTAGCACAGAAAATTTAAACTTTTCTTTGGCACTTTTGAGAGGCTGGTTGTCTACTTCTGTGTTGGGCTTTGCATTTTAACTAATACAGAAATACCTTTTATTTGGTTGAGCAATGTTGAACTGATTAGTCATAAAATGGAATAAGACCTAGGAAAAATAACTCCTGTAACTTGGCTTTTTTACTCTAAAAGACTGTCAGCAGTGAAAACTTCTCAGCTAGGCTGGAAGGAATTTAATTCATGTAATGACATCATTGTGAAGATTTGGGGCATGATACAAGTTAGTTTATTTTTCTTTTTTTTTAGATTAAACTTTACTTGTGACAGAGTATGGAGGAGTAAAAAAATACTTGCCAGTAGAAGTTTATTTTTTGTAAAGTCTTTTTACTGTCATTTTTTTTGTGTGTGTCACCTACGTCTTCAGATTATGTTGGGTGCTTGGATTTTTTCATATAAGTTTCTCTGATACTCCCTGTAATTCTGATTTTGAGTCCTTCTACAAAGTTAGGAATAGAATCAGTTGATAAACTAATCCTTAATTTTGCACAGGATTTTGCAACGGTAGAGCTGAAAACCTCAGAAGTTTATACTATCAGATCTTTAAAAGATCTTTAAAATCTGAAGAATAAGAAAAGTCCAGTAATCTTATTGCTCTGTAGTAAAATCTGATTAATATCAAGGAGTTTTGGTGTGTTGTTCATTAAGTCAAATTGATTATGGCCTAATTTCATCTGCAAATATTAGAATTTTAGGAGAGAAAGTGTAGGGATGAAATAAAAATAAAATGTAAAATATTAAATTTTAGCCTGGGTTAGAGGTATTACAAAGGGAGATGAAAATCTGCAAGTCAGAAATATATTCATTTTTTACTTATATTATGAGCTGGAAACATGTGATTTTCCACTTCAAAAAATCAGCTTCCTTTGAAGAGTTATTCTTCAGACTTCACACAGTATGGTACTTCAAGCTGAAGTTATTACTTCCTCTATAGATTGCTTTGCTTTGTGTTCTGAAAACCTTCCCAGGGTCCTTCTCCTTTTTACTTTCAAGGAGAACAGCTCTTCACATAGAATCCATCTGTATTTTATCCGTGTGTGTACTGAATCGAAATGTTAGGTGGCTGTAAGTCCCACCTTGGCTTCCTGTGTATTGGCTCCTGTGTAGGGCTGCCTTCATGTGGCTGCACAGTGTGTCCATGGCACACTGAAAAAATGAAAAAATTGTTTTTTTCTTTACTAACAGAAGAGCAATGAGCCCAGTCCCTGTGGTGAGTTATTTAGTATTATAGTCAGGGAACTGCAGGTCCTTAGCACACCCTACTGTAAGATACAAATGACAAGACAAATGACAGAGCTCATGTCACCACTCAACTTCTCGTCTTTGAATTAGCAAACCTAAATCTAACTGTTCAAACAGATGCATCCTGCAGACTACCAAGTAGTGCATCCAAAGCCCCGTAAGAAACCTAAGTCGTACTCTGTACGGGAAATGCAGTGGGAACTTCAATATCATTGTTGGTTTAAGACAATCCAGGTGTGGGCTGTTACTGGAGACAATAGTTCATTTGTTCTGTGACTGCACAGGCTGTTGCTGTGAGAGTAGCAGGAGCTCATGGCTACAAGTGAGCGCTTACACCTCTGATAGTCACCTGTAAATCTAAAGATGATGTGAGACTGCAGTTGAAAACAGCTGAAGTTTTAAGTTCGCTATTAAAGTTCAGTATTTTGCTCCTTTTATGGATTGTTCCCAGATTGCACAGAGGTCCGTGGGCTGATAAGCAGGTCTTTGTCTTTTAAAAGAGAAGGGACCAGGCAAGCTGATAAGGTGTCCTTTGTACTTAGGAGAGAGTGGTTATATTATTGGCTATGTATGTTGCCAATAGTTCCTGCTCTGTGAAGCAGTTTGTAAGTACAGCATGAAACTTCACGGACTGGCTGTCTGCAAGCCTGTCATGTTGATCACTGACAGGACAACTTTTAACAAATACCCTTATTTCAGCTACCGTTCTGGACACTTAGCTTCCATTCTATGTGAACTTTTGAAATTTTGAAATGCATTAGTGATTTACAGTAAAGAAATATTTCCTGCTACTGCTGCCTTTTGGGGATACATTGTCGGGGGAAAGTTCCCTTTTTTATCATGACTACTTCGGAAGACAAGACAGAAGTTAATGATGTGGTAAGCATTCTTTAAGGCTTTGGTGATGGGCTTAAACTGTTGTGCTTGTTGGTTTATTTTCTGATTACTTGCTCATTAGCAGCATACTAATGATTTACTTTTAAAATTACATTTTAAGCTGCTTCATAAATAGATGGTTGTATTTTAGCAAAAAAAAAATTATGTTTACATAATTTTTAATATTATGACCTGTTTTGAAGGTTACAGAGTTGATATCTGATGATTTTGAACATTTGTAAAACCCTTTGTCATTTCACAGGCTGACAGAATACAGAAATTTGGGTCTGAGTCAGGAGGGATATGTGTGTTCCCATGGTTTGTGTTTTGTTCAGAAGCATTTTGAAAACTAGAAACAAAAAAACAAAACCAAAAAAACCCCTGAAAACTTAGTCTTAAAGACTTATTTATCTGTAGGTGTGCTTTCATGAAATTTAGTGGGTTTTGTCTTAACAATATATTGTTCTTTACATCCAGTTTTTCACGTATGAATACTAAAAATTGAGGTAGATGGGAACAGTGAAAGAAATTGTTTGCTCAAGTTGGCTTTCATAAAAGTCAGTTTTCTCTAGTGTCATAGGCAAGCCTTTTTGTGAAATTCAGTTCTGTATCTTCTCTGAGTAGGGTTTTTCTTTTGCTTTACCTTTTTCTCCCTCTGTTTTCTTTGTGTTGCTAGTTCTTCTCCAGAAAGCACAATCTCTGAACGTGCATGTCCCTTCTTCATCCCTTTGCAGGAGCTGTTCTTTTTTTCCTCCTTGTTCTCAGCTGTAGCAAATTTTTCTTCAAAGTTGTTCTTCAATGAACAGATCATCTCAGTTTTGTTCTTTAGGATGCATAATTCCACTTAACATCCTCATGTAATGGATATTCCACCAGAACCAGTGGAAAACAGCAAATCTTCAGTATTGTCTGCAGCTTTCTTTTCCTTCATAGTTTATATTTCTGTCTGATTCATATTGTTACATGCAGTTGCATCTTTAGTATTTCTTGAGAAGTTAAATGAGATTATAGTTCATACAAAACTGTCTCCTATTAAGATTCTTTAATGGAACCTTGTGTGCTTATTCTTCAGTTTCTGCATCTTGGCATCTTTTTCTTCCTTATTTGCCGGTATGCTTTTACAAGGGTTTTTACAACGGCATGATTATTGAGATAAATGATTTTATTGTGTAGGATATGTGCTTCATATCTTTGTGGCTGTTGATAATTCACTCCTGTTTGCAGGTTACTGCAATGTCTTTTAACAGTCAGTGTCATATAGGTAATAATTTGACTTTGAATACTTGACTGGAGAAAATCTATAAATGCTTAGAGACAAGATAAGAAATATTTGAAGTCTGTAGCTCTCCAAATGTCTGCAAAACCAGCAATGAAATGCATCTTGAGCTAGAGAAATGCAGTCAGCAAGAAACTGCTTCAGTTCTAGCCACAGGTATTTAGAGGTACCTGCACATCCTTGAGTAGTGGGGACAAAGCTGCATAGCTAATGAGTCAGAAGTTGTGTGCCTGCAGGTATAAAACACGGGGACAGCTCTGCCAAATGCACCCAATAAGTGTGGAGTGTCTAGTTCTGAAATTGAGAACATGCATTGTCTTGGCTTGTTACTCTTCTTTTGCTTGTAAACATAGTTGTAGACTTCTAGTTACTGATTTTATTTAACTTTGGCATTATAAAAAATGGCTCTGTTTTTGAATAAGTGGGCAGTGAAGGGAATAGAAGTTAATCTTTTATAGAAAGCATTAGCTTCTGTGTATGGAAGTTCTTCATATGAAGCATAGCAAAAATTATGTGATATTCTGAATAGCAGCAAGCTTTTTAAAAATTTCCTTGTCATATATTGTGCTTACAGAATGAAAATTAGTCTTCTTCAGTAAGTTAATCCTTTAAATGGTGACAAATTGCAAAGAAAACTGCATCAACTTGTTGGAAGTACCTGGTAGAGATGAGGATGGTCCAACTTTACTGACATGAAGTTTGTGGCAGTCTGTGCAGCCTGAGAAAGCAGTTGCAGTCACCTAGTCATCTATATTCAATGAATTTTGAACAGCATAATCAGCAGGACAGGTTTGGTGCTGCCTTCCCTAAAGCTTCTCCATCCCATGTCTTCCTCTCCAGCTCTGCTTTCCCACAGCTCTTCTTTCTCTTCATTGCCAGGCATACCTCTCATTCTTATTTAAAGCAGCCCAGCCCTCACCCTTCTTTTGTTGACACGGTGCCACCTGCCAAGGCAGAGACTGCAACGTGACAGACTTGGGAGACGTGGAAGAATGGGAAGATCTCTTCAGTTTGGAACAGCTCATTGCAGCAGGAGTTCTGGGCATTCTGCTGAAAGCACCTTCACCTTGAAAATACCATCTGAGCCTTCACCTAGAGAAAGAAATCTGTCATTCCCAGTATCTGCAATATTATTACCTTTGGCTTTGTTTCTTTTTTTCTGTTTCAGAAAGGAGAAAGTGAAGAAATGTCTGCCAATTTAAAGTACCTTTCCTTGGGCATCCTGGTGTTTCAGACCACAAGTTTAGTGTTGACCATGCGCTATTCTCGGACACTGAAAGAAGAAGGACCTCGTTACTTATCCTCCACTGCAGTAGTTATTGCTGAACTTCTGAAGATTTTGGCCTGTGTTCTGTTAGTCTACAAAGACAGCAGTATGTGTCAAATTTTGCACCAAGTAATTTTCCTAATCAATATGCTGTATTGTAGTGGCAACTGCAAAGCAGCCATGTGAGTACAGGCATACAACAAAGCATTTCCCTTCTCCTTTTGTAAGAAATAGTCTTGGAAAGACAATAATCATATTGTATATTTGCTTAAGAGAATGTAGATACTGAGGAGTGCAGCAATGAATTTGATGCTAACATCTCAAAGTTTGTGTTTGCTCAGGCATTCTAAGAAATCTGTATGTAGAAGTAGGAAAAAATGAAAAGCTCCAAGTGTATCCAAAGCATGAATGATAATTTAGAAACCTGTGATAAACAGCAGATGCAGAAGGGAAGAAGCAATTTCGTTGTTATAGGAAGAATCATAGTTTTAAGCTACAAAAAAGAAAACTATATTCACATTTGCTCCAGTTCTTAATTTGTGTATTTAAAACGGAATTTATCTGGTTTCTGTTTAATTTTCAACAGCTTAAAAATATCATTGTCTATGCATAAATATTGATGACTCTGTAGGATTTTAAATATGTGCTTTTTAGGTGGTACTCTTTGATATATTGTCTTAAATTATTGATACAGTTTGAATAAGTTTAACTCAAAGTATTTTGAATAATTGTTTCCATTCTGATATTCCAGGCTGCAGGAAGACATTTGCAGCCATATTTCCTTACATATACAAGGCCTGTGGAAGTCAAACAAACATAGATCGTACTTTCAGGTCTTGGCATAGTCATAGCTATAAAAATGGGCAACAGTTTAATAATAGAACATTGCTGTTTCTCTTTTTTCCACTCCTTTCCTTTTAGTGAATGTCTTATTTCTTTTACTGTTTCTTTGGGTAGAATGCAATTTACGGACTCTGAACAGAGTGCTGCATGATGAAATCCTTAACAAACCCATGGAAACTCTTAAACTTGCTATTCCTTCAGGAATTTACACTCTTCAGAACAACTTGCTATATGTAGCATTGTCAAACCTAGATGCAGCCACATACCAGGTATTGCATATTTGGAATTCTCTGTAACTTTTAAAAAAACCCCAACAAACATGAATTGTGGCATATTAGTAGTAACTGTTCCTGGTTCTTCTAGGTTACATATCAACTGAAAATTCTCACCACAGCACTGTTTTCTGTGTCCATGTTGAGCAAGAAACTGGGTGTATACCAGTGGCTGTCACTAGTAATATTGATGACAGGAGTGGCATTTGTGCAGGTAAATATCAGCAGGTGGCTTGTGGGGTTTTAATGTGTTTATTCAAGAAACATGGATTTCTGTACTGATTATCCAGCTTTCTAATTCTACCAGCTGCACACGAGCACCAGAGTATAGTCAGGAGCTAAGAATCACAGCTGGCCAGGTCTGGAGGACACCAGAGATGGTTCAAAGGCAGAAGATAACCCCTCTTTTGCAACCGAGTGCTCTACTGTAGAATGTGACAGGGCCTCTGGAGCAACCTGCAAGTAATAATGATAGCAATTTTTATTAGCATCTTTCTTCAGGCATTAGAAATTCACAGCTCATGTCTGCCGGTACAGGCTGTGTTCACTTCGTCATATGGATTCAGCATGGCAAGTTTACTTTGGACTATTTCAAAAAGCAAAATTGGCCTCAGTTCTACATAGTGTAGGTACCAGAGTTCATAGTTTTCAGAGGGCAGGATCATGTGATAAAATAATATTCTAAGAATTTTTAGCAGATTTTAGTATAGCCTAGAAATTTTTATTTTAAAACTTCATGATTTGGAAAAAGATATGGTGATTAAATTCAATAATGAAAAATGAGAACAAAACATTGGCAGTATTTAACAGACTCCCCCGAAAGTTTTTGTGCGTGACATTGGATTTTATTCAGTTAGCTTTAGACACATTGTAATATTTAACTGGTCTGCACAATCGTCAAAGATGGGCACATGACAAAGACAATTCATCCCACCTTAGAGACAGCTGGTGTAAGTAGTTTTCTAACTGTGCTTGTACTTATAAGGTAACCAACTGTTGGTTGGCACAAGTTGGTGGCAGAGAAAGACCATGATAAGTCACACTGGGATTCAAACATAGTTCTTGTTTATAAAACACAAATCCTGCAGCTGTTTAAATTGATGAGTATTCTCCCAGTTCAGGCACAATTTTGCTCCTTACAAATACATAGAAAAAAATGTAGCTTTGCAGTCCTTTAAAAGTATTTATGGTGCAAAATACAAAACTTTACATGTATATGATTCTCTGTATTTAGTAACTATTACTGGAAAAAAAATTGCATTTTGTAGATGCTCATGACTTGTTTTCATCAGTGAATTTTGTGTAACTGTTTTTACATCCAGTGGCCTTCAGACTCTCAAGCAACACCTGCTAAGGAGCACTCAGCAGGATCACAGTTTGTAGGCCTGATTGCAGTTCTCATAGCATGTTTTTCTAGTGGATTTGCTGGGGTTTATTTTGAGAAAATTTTAAAGGAAACTAAGCAGTCTGTGTGGATCAGGAACATTCAGCTTGGTAAGTTTAATTTTAATCATCTGAGATATTGCATTCTGAAGCATTAAGATAATTAAGCAAAATAAGTGTATAAATGAAAAATGCCTCCAGTATTTTGGTATGCTGCATATATATTACATTAAAACCAAAAGTCAGACTCTGCTAGATGGAATTATAATGGTTTCTGATTTCAGTCTAGTTCTTGATTTACTATGTTAATAGAGTATCTGTACATTTATGCAGAAACTGTCAATTTAATTTTTTTTACTATTTTTAAAAGAATATAGCAATATTAAAATCTGTTTCCAAGTCAGTGTTTTGAGATGTTTTAAAATTAACATGTTTTTTCTCTTATGCCTGGGTAGGCAGCTATTTGTATTAAAAGTGCAAGCTATAAAATCTGCTTTGTTTGTGAATAAAGTTGAGGTATTTAATTACTGTTATTTCAGTACAAAAGGTCAGTTTCTTTTAATTTTGTGCATAATCACTGGGGAGAGGCACATGCAAAAGACCGGTTAATCTTAACTATTTAAATAGCTGTACCTTCTGTGCAGCCATCAGTGAGAAACTACCTTCTATTCCAAAGCAGTCTTGGATCTTTCAGATCCCAGATATTAAAAGCAACAGAGTTATCTGTGTTCCTGAGTGAGTTTTCCTTCCCTTCAAAGCAATCTTGTCCAGTTTAGAGGGTTGGAAACATGATATCAACAGTATCTTATTGTTCCTGTAACAGGGACAAAACTTACGTTATCTTGCTTTCTCTAATGGAATCCCTCTAGTCTTCACCTGTAGGCAATAACTATTTATGGCATATTTGAATAAACACATTGAGCAGAATTTGACCTTCCCAGCACCTTAGAATGGACTAGGGATCAAACCCACAGTGTAAAGTTATGAGATGATTTAGTGGCTCAGAACTGTGTACTGAGTCTGGTAAATGTAGTGCAGTACTATAAGGACAGGAGATGGTATGACTTCTTTTGTAATTAGTTAGTTGGTCAATAAGCCATCTTTTTTTCCTTTATTTTCCTATTACTGTGTTTTAATTATAAGTGGTTTCCATTAAAAAAGCAGAAGTTAATTTTGAATACATTATAACATTTTTACATGACCATGATACCTAAGTATAGTGGAAAGAATCAAAACCTCTCCTTACAATCTGCTTGTATTTATGGAAACAATGTGTATTCAAACGAAGTTTCCGGAACAGGGTGTAGAGAATACATCAGGAAACATTATGTTAGGGAATTTTGTGTGAGAGAAGGGTTGCTAGCTGGGGGTTGGTCCAGGATTTAAGGTGTTTTGTGTGGAGCTGCAATATAAAATCCATTGCCAAGGAAAGCTGATGATGATGATGATGATGATTACTCTCAATTTCCATGCTAAAAGTGCTTTCATGGCAACAGGTATCTGAAATAATTCCCAGTAAGAATCCATAATTGTTGAAAAATCCATAATCTCTTCTAAAACATTATTCAGATTTTTCTACAGCACACAGATATATGTACACTTAGTTTGATAATTGGCCTGGTGATATATTGAATGGTCCAGTAATTGCTTTGTGAAACAAGGAGATCAGAACAGACTGTGTGTAAATGCTGACTCTTCAAGGTTATGGATGATTAGGACAGTGATACATGAAGACATTAATGTCTGATTATAGTGAGAATCAGATCACCTGAGTTTTGTATTTAATTTTGTAATGAGCTTAATCTGCCTCAATAGGAAGCTCAGTAGAGTGAGTTTATTATATAAATATATTATATAATATATAATTGTATATTTATATTAATATATTAATTATATATTATATATTATTATATAATGTCATATTTCACAAAGTTTTTAGACACTAAATGCATAAATGCAGTTAAACAGTACATATGAAATACATACAAAAATAAGTACAGCTTTCACAAAATATGTAAAATGTGAAATCACATTTTCAAAGATACATTGGTGTCTTCCTTCTGCAAGAGCAAGGTAATTGCTCACTTCAGACATTTATTAATCAGGAGCAAGGCATTCATAAGCAAGAGCTCTGAAATAGAGCTTTTCTTAAAACACAAACAAAAAACCCGGATGTCTGACCAGGTTTTCATTTTCATATCCATAGAGAATTATTAAAACTATAGAAAATAAATTAGAACTAATTGTTTTAAAAATTAGTTTTTAATGCACACGAATGTCATAATAAGGATGTATGAATAGGTGATTGTATTTCTCTTTTAGCAGATCAATTGGAGAATACAAGTAAATGGTTTGATCTGAATGAAACCAACATTTTTAATTCTGCCTACAAAAATAATTATTTCTTGTCAAACAGAAGGAGTTATTTTGTTCAAAACAATTCTGCTTTTATCAAGTGCTGAGAAATATGATGAAAATCACGTTTTCCAAGAGAAGGACTAGAAAAAAGTGTTGCCCCTTTTCTGCTCAGGACTAGAGCAGACATCAGTCACAGAATAGCTGCTTACATGATGTCATGCTTAAGGGATTAGGAAAAGCTTCCCATTTGATAGAAGAACACTGGACTCACCAAATTAAAAACTCCACAGTCTCACCTCAGATTCAGCTTTTGACATTAAGTCTCTACTAGTAAACATTCGTTGTGCTTGAGACTGGCTCAGGAGAATCCCATTTCAAAGATCCTTGTCCGAATTGGCAAACTGCTAATTGCTGCTCCTGCTATGCCAGAGACCTTCTCCTCCACTGAGTGTTTTCCTTGTTTTTCTCTCCAGGTCGTAGGGGGACTTCAGCCTTCAGTCATGACTAGTTTCAGGAAAACTGAAATTGCATTTAAATGAATTTTGCTATATGCCATAAACAAAAATCTCTCAATTCCAGTAGAAAGCAATGGAAGATAAGTATATAAGGGTATCTGAATGGAAACGATCAAAACTTGTTTCAAGTATGGAGAATAGCTTTTAAAAGAGAACAGCAAACTGGTTGCATTTGGATGTGATGGTATTGCAAGTGACAGTCCAATTTTAAAATCAGAAATACAGAGCAGCCTGTAAGGATGAGGAACCCATTTGCATGTTTTTCACATGAAGCTTTTAAATCACTCTTGTACTTCCAGGCTTTTTTGGTAGCATATTTGGACTGATGGGTGTTTACATTTATGATGGAGAACAACTGTCAAAGAATGGATTTTTTCAAGGATACAATAAACTTACTTGGGTGGTGGTGGTTCTGCAGGTGAGAATTTGTGTTGCATGTTTCTATGAAGGCACTTGGAAATTTATGCTTCTATAAATAACTGGGAAACTAAGGGGTGTTATTGAAGCTACTGAGAATTCTATAGTCAAAAGTCTGATCTATCATTATTAGCATAAAGCCCTAAATGAAAGTCTGAGAAATATCTAGCAAGTATGTGATTAAGTATTGTGCAAATTAAAAGCATGCAACCATTATTTATTTTGTGATGTTTAAAATTATCTCTCTATATGCCCTTTCTTATGTGGCTAAAAATGTACAGTACAAGCATTTCCACTCATTTAGTGGTGGTAATGTGATCAACAATTTCTTTAATGGGGAAAGAACTACTCCTCCAATATTTGTTTTCAACAGTACATATCTCTAATATAAAATAAATTAATTGCTCCTCGACATAGACAAAAGCTTTACCTAAAGTAGGTGCATGGTGTTAGAACAGATGCTCTCAGTCAAATTGCCAGTTTGTGAATCCAAACCTCGCTATTTTTCCAGGCACTTGGAGGGCTGGTGATTGCTGCTGTTATAAAATATGCGGACAACATTTTAAAGGGATTTGCAACTTCCCTCTCTATTATACTGTCAACGTTGATCTCCTATTTCTGGCTGCAAGATTTTGTCCCTACAAGGTAAGAATTACTTTCTATGCGTACTAAAAAAAAAAAGTTGAAAACTTACTGCTTACCTGATATAACTGTGAAAACCAAATCCCGTCCAAGCCACCCTTTTAGAATGTTTACGTTCAGCTTGCACGTCAAAGTTCATCCTCATGCCGTAGTTAACAGGGAGTTTTTCAGGCGGGAGAGGAGCCGCGCTCCCTGCGGCCGCTGCCGGCGCCGCTGTTCCGCCCCGGTGCGCCCCCTGCGGCCCCACGCGGGCACTGCACCCCCGGGACA